TAGATCCTGGAGTGTCAGTGTATAGTTACCCCGGTATGTATAATGTTGCACACAAGAACAAATTATTTTACAAAAAGGAAGATCATACGTAGTAAAAATGCAAGATTACTTGCAGAGACAATAATTGTAGTACACCTCAGAAATTGAATTACATATCAGTCCAGTATATTGTCAATAAGAATAAAAACTCTGGTTTTATTGCGAATATTTACATACAGTAGCAACACGTTAAATATTATTCATGGCAATTATAATTAGTATTGGCATAAGGTGCCAGGAAAACAGATGTAATGGTGATTGTGTGGTTGTTTTATTCAATACCGCATTGTCATGCATTGGATATTGAAATATAATCAAAATCAAATTTTATCACACACTAACACTCACACACACACACAGAGTTTTCAAGGCAGGAAATATACCAATACACTATAACCAAACGTAAAATTGCATTACAATTTACATCACGCAACTGGTATAATCTTTTTGCTTGCTCAAGGCATAGCGTATCGAGATGGATGGTTGTGATACGCGTACAATCTCTGTGGGAGGAAACTATTTTGGAGCCTCGTGAAATGACTAACCAATCAGAAGCAACATCCGGTGATGTAACTTTCTCGATCTCTCGAGTATCTATGGTTCAAGGTATCAGAAAGAAAGAAATCATGCTCTGCAATTCTCATCGAAGGATATTATCCATAATTTCAAGTGAGACTAGATCTTTTTAAAAGGGAGATTAACAAACTATAAGGGGAAATCTTTTGACGGAATAATCTTGATAATGGCCTCTTTTACTTTACATTCTGATGAATCAAGGCATTTTATAAGAAGGTTTAAAAAACAGTGACAATACGGTGGGATGTTAATTCACTTATTCATACTATAATTCAAAACTACTAACTATGAATATAAATGTACGTTTGTCTTTGATCAAACATGAGTTTGAGTAATCCCTATTACTGCAGATCAATTGAAACATGTCTAACATTACACTAGAATATGTACAGTTAACTCAATTATTCATACCCTTACCAAGTTTTCTCTCTCGAGGGTTTGACTTATTAAAAGCTTACATCAAAAAGTATTAAAAAAAAAGACCCTATTTCAATCAGTCCACCTTTCATCCTTGAGTTACAAAATACACAAAAAAAACATCAAATTTACGAGGGGTGTGAATAATTTAGTTGTTATCTGTATGTCTAGCTAAATATACATGTTACACTCCTTCTTCGGTTTGTCATAATAAGCAAACCAATCAAATTTGCAATGTAAAGTAAATCTTTTAGTAGCTTATCTTAGCAAGTACACATGTAGGGTACTATTAATAATGCATATCCAGTACAGTCTAGGTTTATAGAATATCAACCACTTTATCCCACGCAAACATGCTCAACATAACCAGGGGCCCGTTAAACAAAACTTAGTAAATGATCGTACAATTGGTTTTTGCGACTGATTGCACATAGTGATCAATGCAGTCAGTTGTAAAAGTCAATTGTACAATCAATTGCTAAGTTGTTACGGCGACCTTGGTCCTAACAAAAGAAGCATCGTTATAACATTTGGTGTACAGTAAAATATTGTACTTTTCTTCAGAAATATGCATACACAACGACCTTTTGACTTAGACACAATGCTCATAGGAGATGTGTGCAATATCTCATACACAATGTATATTTGTTCGTGTAAAAATATTGTTCAATGCTACATTAAAAATGTTCTTTTCTCTACAGCCTCTTTTTTTGTTTTTGTCTTTGGGAGCAATTCATGTTAAGGAAGCATTTCCTTGAATCTATAAACCCACGTTTGCAATATTACTCTTATCCGACATAAAATAAATGATAATAATACTAATAATACTAATAAATATAATGATGAATGATGCTGATTGTCATAATGATGTGATGATGATGATGATGATGATGATGATGATGATAATGATGATGATGATGATGATGGATGCATTTGTAAAGCACTGATGGTGATGATGGCGATGAAGAGTATGATGATGATGATAATTGCATTTGTAAAGCACTTTTCCCATCTTGATAAAAACTATTTAATATCATTCAATATAATATTACTACAAAGTTGACATAATAACATGTTCAGCTATTATATGCAAGGCATTATTCCTAGAAACCCAGCATGAGATAGATATTACTGAAATTTAAAAAGAAATCTACTTTAACTTTGCTCTCAGCCTCTAATTTCACACAGCAAATTTTTGTCTACATTTTCTTGAATTGTATACACTACCATAAACATTCCAACTATCTAGGAATTAAGTCACAATCATAATAACAATATTTATTCATTATAAATATTAATACAATAAATTAAAATTGGCAATTACATTTATGTAATTTTGCAAAGCTATAGTGACAGACACATATGTCTGTCCTTTTGACCTACATAACATGTAGATTATGATGTAATATACTCCTTATATATGTATTGGTGCAAGTTTGTTTGCATAACATTAATGAAATCTTGGAATGAAAGGATATTGTATCTTGTAATCTCATAACTTAATGATACAATTACAAAATCTATCTTTTGGCAACTGCTACAATATTTTTTTAAATTTTTAAATAAAACAAAAATTCATCCATCAATGAAGAAAAGAAGAAAGGAAATTAACAGTACACAAAAAAGGCATCTAATAAGATCAATGAATAAATACTTTTATGAAATCAACAATTTTGCCTAAATAGCTCCTTAAAATTACTTATACATATGCCACTCTCCACCCAGGTGATGTAAATGGGTACCTGGTAGGAAGACATTTCTTGAATACTTGAGCACCTTATGATGGCAGCTCAGCTACAGCCAGGGTAAAATTGTGATACTTTGTATTGAGTGCAGTAGAGTTTAGCTGTCCTGAAGAAATGGACATAGTTTGATTAGTAGTATTTTATTCTCTCTTTCCCTTACCAACAATCTTGTCCTTTCGTGCTCAGCATCCTTCATTTCCTTTTTCATTTTACCCTGCTATCTCCTCTTACTTTTGACAGAATGTATTCCAATGTTGGTTAATCTAATTGATGTTTTTGTTCTGTGCACATTTATGTATTCTTATGTTATTCAATGTTATTTCCTGCCAGTGGAGACCAAATTTCTGTGTTTTTTAACGTGGACAATAAAATCTGAGTCTGAATCTGAATCTAATGCTGTTTCTTTTCTTCAGATTATAGCCTGCACTACAGACATGGTTACTTTAGGACTGACATGTACAAAACTGAACATATTCATGCTCTTCTAGTTGACTGGGTACATCAAACAAATCATTTCAGTTCACAATAACCTAAGTCAATAATGAGATTTAGAATGGCTTAACCCAATTAGTTCCATGAAATAAAAGCACCCTTGACATTCATGGATGAAAGACCTTATTAATAAAAGAAAATATGAAGTGATGGCATAATACACTAATATTTGTCTGTTTCATAACTTCATCACGCGATATTTGTGTATCCAACTTGCAAACACAGTCATCTTAATGCATTTAAAGGAAACCTCACCCTAAAGAATAATAATAATAATAATAATAATAATATTAGCCTAATAGTCCACTCCAAATTTTAAGTGTAGGTATTCTAAAAAAAGAGATGTATTACTGCCCTTTGATGTACAAAATTCTTTACAAAAATGTACAATACAACTGTAGATATATAAATGAAGATATTCTTGGCATGATGTGTTGCATTTTAGCATGACATGGGCATTATTGTTGCTTTATGCCTCTCTCATACACTTTGGTGGGAAATCTTGGAGATTAATGGGCAAGAATATCATAAATCTCTCAGAATAAGTAGTTATTTCTTGGAGTGAGGTTTCCTTCAATATCTTCAAGCTTCATGTAGAAGCTTTTTAGTAACTACAGGTGCAGTCTTTTCTAGTTTTAATCTGCAGAATACTTCATGAATTATGAGTAACTAAACAGGATCTTACCTTTTGTTGCCTTTGAATCAAACATTTTTTTCAACTAAACATCAATCAATGAATATATTAAAAAATGAATGATCAAATAAATTACATTAAGAAATTAACTTGAAGGGCAACTCCCATGTAAACCAATGAGCTCAGAAGAAAGTGTACCAATCACCTTAAAGATAAAGGTGAGTTCTGGTAATGCAATTGCATTGTGAAAGAAAAGGTGTGGAATGGATCAGAAACAGGTGATCATGTAGCAAGTAAGTATTGGTGTGCACTGCAAGGTTCTGGAGTCATCAAAATCATTATAAATTTGGCCGAGTCTTGGTAAAGTAACAAGCACTGTACACAGCAAGCTATATATATGGGACAACACACATGGTGTTGGGGCTAGTACTACATTGATTTCCTTGTCTTTCTACGCTCATTTCTCAGCCAGTATACATTTTCTTCCAAAATTGTTTGGCACATGTCATTTATTTGTAATTTTGAACATTCAGTGTAAGTTTCGTTTGATTCTGTGAGAATTAATTTTCTTTTTTTTTACCAGAACTGGGGGGTGTTTCACAAAGATCCTAAGTTGAACTTATCTCTAAGTTGGACTTAAAAGTTATGGAAAGCCATTAGCATCTATGAAAATATTTTGTAAAAGTTAATAAAAAGGCATAAAATGTTGATTCAAATCATTCATATGTTCTATTATCAAGGAGATTTCATGTTCTTGATGGGGAATTTATAAAAAGTCTAAAATACTTGAATTTTTGCTTTTGAATATATTTAATTTTAAGGCTACAAATGGCTCTCCATAATATTTAAGTCCAACTTAGAGTTAAGTTCAACTTAAGATCTTTGTGAAACACCTCCCTGGAGTTTATCTTTAAACATGGGTCAATACTGTCTTTGCAATACATAACTCTTGATTATAATGGTACTCACTCTTGATTGCATAGTTTTTCTTGGCACTTTTGGAAGAAAGCCAAGTAAGAATTTGGGTTTTGATTCTAATGACTCACAAATTCTAATAACTACTAATCACTCTAATTACACATGACAAAGGAAAAAGCTTCAAGGCTTTAACAAATACATAATTATTTTAAATGCAGATATGCGTGGCAAGTGACGACTAAAAAAAAAACAGTAGCTACGAACAACAACAACCCCCAAACATTTAGCTTTATGTTACACAAAATGTCATACTATGGTGCAGATTTTTCTACTGCATTGTGTGTAAAGGAGGCTTAAACATACAAGATGCCATGAACACCTAAAACTTCGCTTTCCAGTAACACATGGAACAGCATTATATAGTTAAGTAACACATCAAAATTGAAAGTACATCATTAATGCCACACGTTACCTTAAATATTCACAATCATCTGTTCAGAGCCAGGAGGTCGTTAACTCTATCTTAAAGTATATGAGTTAATGCCCTTCTGGCTCTAAACAGACTATACCATTCAGAATTTTGTGTCAGACGCAAATTGTAATCACTACTTCAGTAGATATCACATCTGCAGCAACAACAGAGGGGGTACTTGCTCTTTGGGTTATCAGGGGAACCAACTATTTCAACCCTGTCACAACCTGATTTAGATCACCATTAAAAAATTTTTTAAATTACTATGGTCAGCCAAAAGGGCAAACAAAATTCAGACAAATAAAAGTATATTATTCTGTTTGTTTTTAAAAACAGGAGACCAAAAGAGGGAAAAAATGTTTTCATTTTTGCCCACACTTGGACTGTGATTGTTATTGTTGCTAACTTGCTATCCCTTCGTGCTATCGATGGCAAATTGTTGGTTTACACTATGGCGATGAAACAAACCAAGTCATCCTTGCACCACAATTCCATGCAGCATGAACAAAAATGGGGAAAAAATGGATTTACAGGGAAATTAATACAAAAAAAACACACATCTACAATATATTTTACAATTTATTTTTCTCAAGAAATTGATTGTCGTAAAGCAATAGAGGGCAAAAGCTACAAATATAGCCTGTCCAGATTCTATCTTTATCTGTCTGGTTCAGCAAAGCTTACAGTATGAACCTGGTCTTTGTTATTATTCAATTCTCCAGGTTCTTCCTCCTGAGGTACAACGCCAGATTCTTGACAGTGTAACTTCTCAACCGCTATTACATCCGTCCCATCGTCAATCTGTTCAGTGACGTCACCATCTACATTTTCTCCTGGCATGTTATCTTCGGCGACACCATCAGTTGTATCATTGAGATTCACCTGTGCCATTTGTCCATGTAGATCCACTACTTCTTCATCGGTTACTTGGCACTCTGGGTCATATTCCCCATCCTCCTGGATCATGCCACTACTTGGGATATCTGAAGCACCCTGAACCGTTTCTACCTTGCCCAACATGTCTTCAAATTGGCCATTGCTTGTCCCATTTTCAATAGACACATTTGGCTCGTGTTGACCAGTGTTTCCCTCACGATCAGTGTGACAATCTTGCGCTTCCTCCCGTGGTGTCAAATCTATCAAGTCTTGGGTACGGGGTGTAGGCACATCTGCCAAACTTTCTCCACCACCCCTAGTGCTACCGACCGTCACGTCCTGACTGCGAGGCGTCGCCTCAGGATCAACGGCCCCAACTCTTGGTGACCCCTCCTCTACGACATCCTCCTCCCCTGTGCTTATATGTACGGAGATCTTACTGGCAGTGCTCGCAACAGTACTCACAGCATCCGAGCCGTTCCTTTTGGCAATGCCCTCTTCAGACAAGCCATCCATTTCGTTGTTGCTATTGCGATTCCTGCTGGGGTTCTGTCTGCTCGAAGAGGCAGCCGTCTGAGGGCGGGGCACACCTCCCAATGCTTGTCTTGGGGTGTAGTGCAACTTGATGTCAGGGGAATTAATTCTCTCCTCCTTCATGCTCATACGAGACTGCGTACCTAAAGAAACAATGATCCAAGACAGATGTTAAAGGTAAAGACCAGTTTTGGAAATGCCCCCCTCTCAAAAAATGAAATGGAAGCTCTTATTACCAATCATGTGAAAGAATATGTTTTGACTAATACGTAATGATATAAATTTTGCCGGGAAACCGCCTACTAATTGATATATTTGGTAAATTATTATATATATCCAGACTGGATAGATATCCCATAGTCCCATATACATCTTTCTGTGTACAGTGCTTGTAACTTTACGAAGACTGGGCCAAATTTCAAAATCATTTTGATGATTCCAGAACCTTGCAGTACACACCAATTCTTATATGCTAAATGATCAACCTTTTCTGATCAATTCCACAACGTTTCTTTCACAATGCAATCGCATGACCAAGAACTCAACTTTATCTTTAAAGGGCCCCGTCTTACAAAGAGTTGATATCAATCGTAACTTATTTGCGATTGATATCAATCGTAACTATGTACATAAGAGATAGGAGACTGCAAACTTGCGATTCATTGGAGGACTTACGATTGTACCTTTAAGCTCTCTTGCTCTCTAAAACTTTGTAACAATGAGGCCTGTAACAATCCTGGAAAATAGGAGTATCCTCATGAGTATTTGTTTTGTACAAACACCAACTTTCTTCCATAAATTAGTTAATTTCTTTTTCCTTCTCCCATGTGCTTGTATTAATTAGATCCATTTCCTTTGGGATTATTAAAAATACATATTCCTTGCTTTTTTTTAAATACATATTTAACATAACTGCATTGATATCATGCTCATATCATGCTCATATTTTGCAACTGATTTCAAAAACACATGTCACCTAATCGGTTAGAGTGATTTCCGTTTCATATACATGTACATTTACAATTCCAATTGCTTTGAGAGAAAAGTCTCAATTAAGTCTGCTTGATTTTTCCATGGTTTGAATATATATCAGTACTAATGACCTTACTCCATTGAAGATAGGAGAAAAAAAGAGTCATGAAAAGAGTTAAAAATCTCACATTTTATTAAATATCAAATATCATACAATATTGAAATCACCTACCTAAGATTCTCAGATGGTACTGCTGTACTAGCATAAGGTCTGCACCCTGGCGCTTTCCAGGGTATGAGGGATTGTCATTACTTGTATTGCGCCCTCTCTGTGCATGATGGGTCCATTTCCTCCTGCTGGGTGCCGACATGATGTTCCTTCCGTGAAAATGAACGGGAACGCCATGCTTGACAGCAGAGCCTTCTTGGCACAGGATGCACGAGTCACAGCTACTGACTGTAGAGCGTGCCAGACTACTGCTACTCTGCTGTCCAGAGGCACTCTTCAGTTGGACTCGCTTGGAATGCAGGATCTGACTCCTCTCGGTCACTTTGGATTTGGGAGCAAACTCTGACTCATCCCTCAAGGACGTCGCAAAAGACTCACGGCTATCGTTAGGAGTGGGACTAGGGGCACTCGCAATGGAGCTGGTACCCCACGCCTGACGAGCTTCAGAGGGTGGCTGAAGGAGCTTGTGAAAGCTTGATGTGGACTGGCAAAGACTGTTCAGCTCAGATGCAGTCACTTCAGAGAAGGCCCCCAATGCGATGTTGTTCGCTAGTGGAATGAAAAATTTAAAAATTATTTCCACTTAAGTACATTGAATATAACATTTCAACCATTGTTTCCTTATTAACCTAATGTTGTTTTCATTACCCCAGACTGTATTCTCTACAAGTATGACCAATATCACAAAAAGAGACAAAATTGGCAAAATTTGGGACCACATCATGCAGCCCATTAGACCTTGACCCCTCGGTCCTCTAACCACACATCAACTCTCCTTTGGGAAAAATTCCAATACTGACAATAAAACTGATTTCATGCATACTTTTTAAAGAAAAACAAAATTTCTCTTGATGACTGCAAAGGCTTTCCCGACATATCAACAACTAATGTATGCAAAGTGAACTCAATCCATATAGATGCCATTAAGCAAAGGAGGTGAATCAAATCAATGGTAAGCAAGGGTTTGGAAGAGAAACATGCCTAAATTGAAATACATCAGTAAACAGAGCATCATTTCACAAAACCATCGTTAGTAAAAGTAAGCCAACATCCCATTGGAACTGGGCCCTGTTTCACAAAACTTGTCATCAGTGACAAATGACATTTTTGTTATAAGCTAGTGAAATTCTTGCTTCTGATTGGTTATCAGCAGATTTGTCACTGATTTTTGTCATTTGTAATTGAAAAAAAGGCTCCGTGAAACGGGTCCCAGGTCTATTGTGAAAGAGGCCCACCATTCGCTGTTTTGTTGGCAAGCAAGTTTGCCTCGTTTCACAAAACTTGTCATCAGTGACAAATGACAGTTTTTGTTTTAAGCTAGTGAAAACCATGCTTCTGATTGGATACCATCAGGTTTGTCACTGATTTTTGTCATTTGTCATTCAAAAAAGGTTTTGTGAAACAGGTCCCGGGTTTATTGTGAAAGAGGCCCACCTTTCTCTGGTTTGTTAGCAAGCAACGACTCCCGTGTGGTGCCATTATTCAGAAAGCAGTGCTGAGGATTCTCCCTGGAGACGTAGAGTCCAACCTTGTTGAAACACTTGGCATCCCGATAGTGTGCTCTGAAAGAGACGAAGAAAACATAAACATAACATTAACAAACTACTTTTGCATGATTCAGACATTTTGCTTAGGCCTTAAAAAAAAAAGATGTTGTATTGCCCTTTGCGACCAACCCAAAAATCTTGAAATCTACGGTCGGCTTTTTTTTTTTTTTTAATTTTCCCGCTTTTTAGAGAAATAAAAATAACAAAGCATTCAAAACTGAGAGATGTCAGCCCAAAGAGGGAGAAAAAAAGGGAAGAAAAAAAAAGAAAAAAAAAAGATTTCCGACCAAACGACCCATATGTTTTGGCACTTAAAGGGCAAGACAACACCTTTTTTTTAGGCTTTATTGTGGTAACAATTAACAAAATACTAATTATCTTTTTATGATGGTACTGTAGAGATTGATCTTGATTACCAATACTGATGGGGCCATAGTTGATATACACTCATACGACAATGAAAGATCACTATCACATGAACATTAGTAGAGGACACAACAGCAGAAAGGGTAATATCCAGTTGCTATGTACATGTAGTTTTCACATTAATTTTTCCTCTGAATCATAGATATTAGCTACATCCCTGCTCATGTTATATTTCATAGTTCGCATTTTATGCTAAATCCTTTAAGAAATGGAAAAAAAAAATGCTAACCTGTTGTATCTTGCTCCGACAAGGAACTGATGCACAGTTTCTGCTCCCTCTGTCAAAGGCTGCAAACTAAAATTTGATAAGGGGAAAAGTGTATGGGAGAAGCTACATGAATGTTTCAATTTGTACAATATTAGAGATGACAACAGACTTGGTAGCAAATTTGCCCCATGCTAAACAACTAACTCATATGATCTCTACTGTAAGAATCAAGGATATGTCCCCATGCTAAAGGGGAAGGGGCAAATATGCTTTAAACTACAGATGTTTCTTAATATCACTCCCACCCACCCCCCTCCCCACCCCCTCTCTTTGGATCCACTCATGATACTAGTTATTATTATATACCTCATTTTAAGATTCTTTACTAATCCTGTCTTCTGATTGGTTGAAAATGCAGTCATGTTCTTAACCATGCCCGCTAATTGAAATTCATAGTCATTTTTCCCGGCTCTACCGGTTTATATCCATTTTTCATAGCACTTTTTCCATGAAACGTGACGTCATTTTGCTGCGATCCCCATTTTGGTTTACGTGTTACCGTATAAGTTTCTTTTGTGCGATGACCGATGCGCTTTGTATTTGGTATTTGTGTTTGGTATTCCCTGTTCTACTGGAGCACAGCTTGTTGGATTTCATACTGTACACAAGTTATTGTTGGTGTTAATATTCATGACTTCAAAGAGATGGAAACCTAAATGGGTGAGTCAACATTTTCCTTTTTTTCGGTATATAAAATATATATTGACTGCTTTTAATATTCGAGGCATAGTTGTTTCTATAGGGTCTCGGGAAACTCACAACCTGCTATGACCCCGCGGCGCAAGCGCCTTGGGGTCATAGCAGGTTGTGAGTTTCCCTTGACCCTATAGAAACCACTATGCCTCTCAAAGCAGTCAATATATCCTTACTATTACTGATTATGACGCTATATAACTGCAGATCTATTGAAGATATAAACAGATGAAAATTTAGTGTATGCTTTGACAAAATGAGCTTACACACATTTCCTAAATACCCAAACATTTCTTTACACGTTAATAAAAGCTTCTGTTTATCCAGGATATTTCTAGACTCTCCAAATAAATATATGACATATACTGGATATTTGGATTCACTTTTCTTTGTTATGGATATAGTTATATGCCTTGCTATTCAGAATGTACACTTTGCATGAATATCTTGAAACAGAAATAAACAAATCAGGGCCATTCCATGAGAAGAAGGACATGACATCAAAAAAAGAAATGTACCTCTTATGTTAATTCTTTGATTTATCACTAACCTTATGCCATGGATGTTCATAAAACATTAGGGCCTTTCAAATTCAATACAATTTTTTTTTCATTTTTGTTGATTTCCTAAGATCTCAAACTATCATCAAAAACGTACATGTGGGACTGTAGCTGAAAAAAACCCAATTTATTGCAGATTACACAGGATTCTTGTAATATTTTTTCCTGAAAATTTCGCTAAATGGAAAAAGATGAATATATTTCCATATTCTAAGGGGTCCTGTGATATTTAATCTATTACATAGGGGTGAAAATGGCCTCCGGACAAAATGTAACGCGAGTTACCGTAACGTGAGTTACCGACATATTTGCTCCCTGCATTTTACTAGTCCATTGTTTCTTATCTTTAATATTGTGATCTTATACTAGTAAGTCACAACCTACTATCAAATTAAAATAGGAAAGATTTTGTCAAGATTGTCTAGTATGAGGAGAAAAGAAGGTCTCGTAGAATTGACCATGTCCTTTTTTTGTAACGCGAGTTACCGAAATTCAATAATCCAAGAATCTAAAAATGTTTGTTCTTCAATTTTCTTTTTTGTTTCATTCAGTTGTTCTATATCTACCCTGTCCATGTTTGAAAAAAGTATCTTGTAGATCCTAGCAGTTCTAAAGATATAGGCACATTATCGTGTCAATGTACCCATTAAGTGTAACGCGAGTTACCATGGAATGGCCCATCAAATCAAATTATACCCACTTTTACAATGTCTTTTCCTAATTCATAATTTGAAAAAAACATTTCACAGTCTTGTTAATGTGCAAAGGGAACTAAACACTTCTCTTAGTATTTCTTCTCTCACTCTCGATTATATATATCCAAATATAAAAGCATTCAACATTACTTACTCTTCAGGAACATCAACGGTCTTGTATTTATCTTCCCTCTCTGTTGAAATACAGACAAGAAATTTTTTCAAAGATCAATGAGGTATAAAAGTTAATTGAGAATTTGAAAGAAGATGTGGTGATTACATGAATTTAAATATGTTGCACTTTTCTAAGCAGCATGTCACCCATATGGAGCAGAAAAATAATGACATGTAGCGTACTTCACTTACACACTACATACAGTACATTGTAAACACACATTAATTCTTTTAGGACAGGATTCATCATTAGGGCTACATTTATTTGTGTATAACATGTTGTTTTTCAATTGCCAACAATGATATTTTTTCTTCTATTGCTATAAATAAAATGTAATGTCTCTGAAACGAAACATGGATGCAGAAATGTTGGCCCTTTCTTGTCATGGATCTGGCATATTTTTTAGGGCTCTGCATCAAAATTTATGAAGCCCAACCACAAAAAGTGGAATGATTGTTGCGAAAGGGTTTATGCCAAATGCTTGTCCTGATAGATACAGATCAAAATTCTCAACAAACAGAAGAGCCATACCAAAACTATAAAAAAAGATCTCAAATTTACAATCAAATGATTCAATTGGTTTGATTGGCCTTTGTGGTTGTAAGTTTAAAAATAGATTACTTTTTGGCCAAGTATGTGTAAACAATTGTCACATCTACATCATGTAGTACTTAACATGCTTTTTAATCACACTACATACATGCATACAAGTATATGGTAGAACTTGTGACACAACTATTTCCCTCTTTATTTTTAGCAATTGTGATGAACTTACTCAATGCCTGTTCTTGAAGGTAATGGATATCATCTCGTAAATCTAGCTTAGCTCTCTCCGGCACAGGAATATTTTTGATCCGTTGTCTAGCCCTCAGCAAGCTGTAAATAAGACATTCAAATATTGTACAATACAGTTCTTTACAGGGTTGGCAACCAAATCTAATGCTGAATTAAATCATTCACTTTTTTTTCTTCTTTTCTATAATCTAAAATCATAATGTAATTTTTCTTCTCTTCCATTAGCGAGCTCCAAATGAAATTATGCTATCAAATCCAAATTGCATTTTTCTAAAGTAAGGTAATAAAATGTAATCATCCACCTTGGTATTGTATATTCCTCCTTGATAGTAATCCCTCTTTTTGTTAAAGAGACAACAAATCTATTATTTACAGATGGGTAAGAAAAGTAAACAAATTCATATCGAACATTCTTATCACTTTGCATGACCTATTTGCCAGATATGATGCATGTCACCAAAGATCATGGTCTTTATAATAATGTTTTCATTTAGAAACCATACTCGAGAGAGACAACACATGATACAGGTACTTGGTAACTAGATTGATCTTTATATCAAATTATGGTTTTGACTACCTTGTTCTTGTAGGCCTGCCGTGTCGTACATCCACTAGTTTCTCAGACTGGCCAGGCATCTCAGTTGCAGTCAGATATTGATGAAGGCTAAGACCCTGTTGGAACTCTTTATCAACGACCCGTTCAACACTGAACCTTGACTGAGGTTTGGCGGGTGCAGGAAGCACTCCGTTCTGCTGCTCTTGCTGAAAAACACATAGATAGATATGAAAAGAAATGTCACCAAGATTTAAAGGGAGCAGTCACCCCAACAGATAAGTTTGTGCATTATGTGGTTACCAGTCCCCCCCCCCCCCCTCCCCAAGAAAAAAGAAACATACAAATGGTTAGGAATCAACAGAAGTTATCTCAGATTTAAATTTTGTGTACACCCACTTCTGTCAACTTAAACAAGAATAGTACATTTACCATCATTGAGTAAATTCAAACGTGCTAGATCTCTTGACAAAAGTTATATTTGAAGCTGATATTTGAAAGCAAACTTATGCAGTTTTAAAAAATGGTCATTGATTCCCTTTGTCATTTTGTTTTTGTTCTTCTGAAACATCAATCCTTTCCTACAAATCTATCAATAGCAAGGACAGCTCAAGGGTGTTCTAAAGACCTACCTTATTAGTACTAAGGAATCGTTGAACCATCAATGGTTGCTCCCCAGTATGGTTCAATTCCTTGTTGTATTTACTAATCCAATTTGGAGAGCCATTCCTCTCCTCCTCCTCCGTCTGTCGAAACACCATGTTCTTGACATCGTTCAAGAAGTCCGTCGGCCTCTCTGATATAAACGCTGCCTTTGATGGAGGGTAAAGGTTTGTTATGCCTGCAAGGATTGTAAAAGATTTTTTGAATCATTAAAGTCATTATGGTCTAGGTCTAGACCTAGTCTGGTGTGTCCATATTCAAGTCAAGACCAAACTTCACAGATGTCAAACCCAAAATCCTGATTTCCAGATAAGGCTGGAGTAAATAACAGCTCACTGAATTAACAGCTATTGTTGTTACTTGGTACTTCTACTACTTGGACTTGGTTGGTTGGTTCTCCAAAATAGTTGTCTGGCTGAGTTTATTGAACTGGATAGGGTGGATTAATATTAATGTAGATTAGATTGTTACGTCAGCGTCAACCTTTTTTGTAGGCCTAGAATCTACATCAAAATATTGTTACTGTTACTGTTGCAGTGTTAGCGGCCTAGATCATTCATATTATGATCTATTCTATCATCTTCTACTTTCTCCTAGTCTAGGCCCTAGGCCTATTCATTAAGTTCTTGTTAATGTTAACTGTGTTACTGTGAGTGTTAGTGTTAGTGTTACTTAATTTCTCTTTACTCAAAGCTAATGCGTATTCTCAGAATCATGGTAGGCCTATAGGCCTACACATCATGACATAACTCATATTCATTTGAGTAGACTTGCAGTCACTGAGCCTTAATATTGATACGTGTACTCGCCTACTCGGGCCCGCGTCCGGTGTCCGCGAGGACGAGGTGCGACAGTGAGTAACGGAAGACACCGACATGACTACACAGGAAAGAGCACACGGGACTAGACTCCCATTCACTCTCTTATTTATGCTTACCTTTTCGACCTCCATAGGGACGAGTTCCATAAACATCTTTCGTCTGATTTGATAATGCAAGGTTCATATATATCTTTCCCTGATGAACCGGTGCTCTGCCTTTATTTTTCTTCATTCTTTTTCACTATCTCCATCGTTGATAAAGTAAATAAATCTTTAAAAAGTTTGAACTTTTTGGTTCGTGAAGCTCAGAATTAATATTCTTCCGCTTGGTGATGGGTCTAGTCCAGTATTTTCGCCCAATTTTTCATTTGTTTGTATATTTTCTCTTTCATTTTTGTTTCAAATGCCGATGTTAAAACAGGATAATACACCTATAATAAAAAAAAATACATATAAAAATGAATTAAACATTTCATGGAAGTTCAGGCATTGTTACATGTGACGCGTATGAATATTCATCAGTAAACCGTTTACATAGCAACAATCGGAAACTTTCAATCAATGAAATGTACGCGTTCAAATCGCCGTGCAGGTGATGTAGGTCGAGGGGTCAGCAATGGAATACTACCCCGGAACACAAGTACAAATAGTAGATTTTTCAAATTTAATCACGGGACTGGTATATGGTAATACAACAAATGAGAATTCGCAAATGTATCAATTTCCTATGATTAAGGATGCTTAACAAACATACGGCTACCACTTTTGCCTTTGGATTTAACGAAATGTATGTATCAAATAGCACTCGTCCGTTCATTCGTGACTCCTTAGATCAAGATAGTTATGTAAAGTTCCTTAATTAATAGTAAATTAATTAAATTAAGTACTTCCATCGCCCAATTGCTGCAATGGCCGTTTCATTAACAAATGCCAGGTCTTCAACTGATAGTACTAGCCGTCACAAATATTTATCCCTTATAATCGTGTCTACCATAAGTTTTAAAAGATGAAATATTGCGTGTAAACTTCTTAAAATTACCATTTTAAATCTACCGTCATAACACAACGTCTGGGTTTACATGCATTAAACCAATAGCCACCACATTAACTAAACAATAAACCAGTCAAAGAAACGTTAACTAGCTTAACTACTGATCAACAATCAAATAATTAAACACTCGCCCACCTAATTTGATATCTGAGCAAGAAATAAATCCATAAATTGACCAATCAATCAACCAGTCAATCGCGGATCAATTGGCCACAACATTTCAGGGGGCTACTTTTCAACCTTGCTTGCATGAAAATAACACTCTTTTAATTTGTTTTGCATTGAACTCTATGCACATTTTTGGGGGCTCTTTTATGACTTTCTGGGTGCCAATTTGCCCTGAGCCCCCGTGTATTTTTTTCACTGCTTTGAATCTATGAAAATGTTTATATCTATCAGTCACTAATCAATAAACTATTCAACTTAGTCGATTGCAGCCAGGAATGAACATGCTTTTTAAGCTGTACATCCATCGGCCATATCATGTTCTTTAAACCTAAGGTGACCAAATGAACCAATGATAGGTCAATAAGTCAGTTTGTGGATCATTATATCAAATTAATAAATATCCTTTTGAACCTTCCCTCCTTCCTTAGGACTGACAAAAGTCTCACAGAAGATAAGGAAGGGTAGATTCAATAGATTGAGATATATGGGCTTGAAATATCTTCTTTTTTTTTTTTTTTGACTCTCGGTCCGCGCCTGATTTGGTTATTGCACAGCTCTAGACAGGCGCGCCAGAAGCAGTTTGGGATTTGGGGGGGGGGGGGTCAAACATTCCAGGGGGCTCACCTTCCAGGGGCAGTGACGTAATGAGAAAAAACGTTTGGAAGGGGGGTGGGGCAGACGAAAAATCTGCATCACCACCAGTCTTACACGTTACATGCAGGCCCCGCGGAACGTTTTTCAAAGTGGAGTATTAACGATCAGGTAGAGCGTAAATTGGCGTGGGTCCAGGGCATGAGCCTCGGCAGGGGGTCAAGGGGGTGAGCCCCCGGGAGCTCTGGGGTTTTAGGTATTTAATAACGATTAGATGAGCATCCAGGGGCCCTCTTTAAGGCCATTGACGTGTTCCAGGGGGGGGGGGGGCCCAAAAGCTCAGAGGTTTTAATATTTAACTACGTTCAGATGAGCATCCGGGGGCAGCCATAGGGCCCTTGGTGGGGTCCAGGGGGCAGAGCCCCGGAAGCTCAGGGGTTTTTAGGTATTTAATCACGGTCAGATGAGCATCCAGGTGCCCGCCCCCGGAAGCTCAGGGGTTTTGGGTATTTAATTACGGTCAGATGAGCATCCAGGGGCACGCCTTAGGGCCCTTGGTGGGGTCCAGGGGGAAGAGACCCGGAAGCTCAAGGGTTTTGGGTATTTAATTACGGTCAGATGAGCATTTTTTATACTTTATTTGTGACATTGGCAGGTCACTTATTTTTTTTCTCCGTCTTTCTTTCTGTTTCTCTTTAACATACTTTTTCAAAAAGTGAGGGGGGGGGGGGAGGGGGCTCGAGCTCAGCCAATTTGCAGACCATGACATAAAGGCTTCTAAATAAGCGTATTTTTCGCCCGACTGTAATTTGGGAATTTCTTATTTTTTAACAAACGCATGAAAAGGTACGACTTACAACAAAAATGGAGAAAAAATACCGGAAAACCATTCAACTTTTAAGCAAAAACCAATCAATCCATTAACCAATCAACCAATCCCTCATTTCATAAGTAAAGTTGTAAATTACTAGACTTTTTAACTCACACACTAACTGATTACCCCATCAACTTCATAGAGCTATCAAATAACAGCAACCAATCATTCATTCAATCGCTGACTACTTGCATGAGTAAATGGAGGCTATCATAAGGTATCTTTAAATAGCAAAATGTAGTTGCCCAAGAAGACAAGTCCGGAATGCAAAATGTATAATTTTTGGAAATCAGAATTGATCAAATGGAGGTGGAAGCACATTGTTATTATAGAGCTGGTCAATACATGTACTAGGTACGTCAATTAGGCTTAATGTCTACCAAAACTTTCATTCAGATATGTAAAAAATAGCTCATAATTCACAAACATGACCAACTATTCCGCCTTTTGCGTTTAAAGGTAATACAAAGTTTTGGTGTGGGGTCATGAATTTGGTTCAAATGAACATATTGGAAGCATATGCGATCCTACAATATTCAGTGATCGTTGTCGCGGTTGAAATCGAGTCTAAAGTTATGAAATTGTTAATAATAAACTCTTTATGTTGTATAGCTCCCTCTCAAGGTCAAGATATTAATTAAACTATAAAACATTGCTTCTTGACTAAAATAGACCGATTGGCTATTCCCATTTGGAAAGTATATATCAGAATGACATATTCCAAGATTTTCATGGTTACAGCTTCCATTGTACGGCCGTAGGCGCTATTTGAAAGTTATCAAAATTTACCGGGAGCACCGGTAAACCTTTATATTAAATTTTTCTCAAACGCAGAAGTGTTTTAGGGGCTAAATTTTCTAGTGTGTACAAACCATCTACAGAGGGATCTAAATATATCAAAATTGTAAAGAATCACTATCCACCCAATTTTCAAAATTTCCCAAAACTTTGTATTACCTTTAAGATTGACTTTCTTGCCTCTACATTTAGTTAAGGTACCTAAATGAAATTCCTCCGCCGACAAAAAAAATGATTCCAATAGAAAGACAATATTTAGAACCCTGCCCAAATCCAAGCATGGACCAAACTTAGCATTGAGTAGCACAGAACTTGTAAACATTAACACGACAGGACCAGCAAACTACTTCTTCACAAGAAATGTTTTAATGCATTATTGTCACTTGATACAAATACAATAGGCTATACAAATCACAAAGTCAAAATAATGTATGAATGATAATAACCACTTATGATCACATTAATTTAAAGTTTCCAGAACAGTGAAATTTGTGAGATATTTTCTTGAACTATGTCTATTTTGTTTAAGTTCCTATCAGTATGCTATTATGAGTTTTTACACTGCACAAAATCTAGCTTACGAGTTTCACAATATGGTATTTTCAAGCCTATAATTTTCAAAACATTTCTTTAGACTGTAATGCACTGTTTCATAGGCTTCTTACACTTCAATAAATAGATATGGCAAAATTGGCAATGAATACAAAATACCTGAAAAAAGGTTATAATATTTCTTGTAAAAAGTATAGCACAAAATGATTGACACTGTCATGCATTTTTGCCTATAAGGCATATTTTTTCTCTGTTCTTGTACTCTAGGTTGAACCATCTTGTTGTCCTCTGTTATGGAGGGGGAATATTAGGTGTTGGAATGCACTTCAATAAATATTTAAAGCTCAAAGCACCTTTTGAAACATTTTGAATAACATCGTACTACAATATGGACTGCACATGATGGAGCTACAGTCAAACCTGCTTTAGTGACCACCTGTCTACAAAGGCCACATTTTTTGGTTTCCCTTGAAAATGGTTTCTCATTGAAACATGTATTAAAAGAACCTGTCTACAAGGAACACTTTTTATTTTTCCCTTGGGCGGCCGCTATAGACAGGTTTGACTGTATAATGATAACTATCTAATTCATGTAAGTATGAACTAAAACTACAACATGATTTATTTCTCATATGGCACCAGCCTATCAACATACTCTTTGTTTTGATAACTATAAATCTATTCATGTTATTGAAAATAAATATTTTGGGGTTTCTTCTTAGGGTTCATCTTTCCTCTGGTTTTCTATGGAAAAGAGAATAATATCCGCATACACTACTTCACATTCTTTTTCAGGATTTATTATTCAGTATTACATTTCTAACAATATATAATAAATGTATCCCCATAATTTTTATTGAGCTTGACTATCAGATCTGGGAGAGGGGGTTCCCCCAAAAAATAAGTTAAACATTTCTTTAGTATGTTTCTTTAGTATTTCTCACTTTTTCTTCCTTTTTCTTCCTTCTTTCTCTTGCGCTTAGAAACATTGTATTAAGCGCATTATAAATGTAATGTATTATTATTATTATTATTATCAATGCACATCAATATATGACATAAAGTAGCTATTTTTTCGATTTTAATTGGATATCATAAAATGAAGTGCCACTCTCTCAACCAAAGTCATTACCAACATGGAAGGAGGAAAAAAAACCCACAAATACAAGGAGACAATAAAAATTAGAAAGTTACTTAAAAATAAATATTTGGTCCTATCTTCATAATCTTATTGGTTTATGCTACATTACCAAACAAAATATTTGAAATAATTTTGAGCGGTCCTGCAGAATTCGTTTGAATGGAAGTTCCTTCCTGTACTCTCAAGGTTGTGCGGTTTGATAGAGAGGGCGCTACACTTCCCAGCAGCAGAGTCGATAACTCTCAGGTAGCAACGGTTTAAAAGGTTTAACTCAATCTTTGGTCTGTCACCTCTTATCATAAGGCTTTGGTCTTCCGGAAGCTTTACTCTTACCAGTATTAGTCACTTGTGATTTAACCGCAGCCGATGAGACGTTTGATGTCGTTTTTGATGATGTGGTCGATGACGGCTCTGACGACGGTGATGACAATGATTGCGATGATGATGATGATTTAGTCTCTACCTGTTCTGTTTTTGATGAGTTTGAGTCTAATGTTGATGACGATGTCTCTGAACTTGTTACTGCTGTTGACACGCTGGAGGTAGATGGAGGGGGTTCCAAAGGGAGTGACATCAGGCTTGGTAAACACTTCTGGATGATCTCCTTGGGTTGTTCAGGTTTCTTTGTAGCATAGACCGGGACTGGCTTGAAGGTGGCTTTGGAAGTTGATCTGTCCATCTCTCTCAGTTTTCCCTCAATCGCTCTGATCTGTGACTCAACACTGTACAAAGAGTAGGGAGGAAATTCAGATATTACTTCATTTTGTCAGAAATAGACAAATATGAAGTTTCTTGTGCATCATGCTTTTAAAGGCGAGGTATTCGACTTACACTACCTCAGGTTTACGTATATTGCTATCTTTTGCTCACAATGTCCCATTTTGTTGACAGCCATGTCCCATAATGCATCACCAACTGCACATGGTGCATATGATAGTTGGGTCCAGGAATCGGAAGTTGGTCTATGTTCGCCTTAAAAGATGGCTCATTTGAAATACATTATAGCAGTGGTAGCAATGTTGGTACAAAACCCTGGTTTTAAACATAAATATTGATCAATTAGATACAGAAAATATTAGAATACCATGGCTTATTTTAGTAGACAAATATGCTTATAATAAATGATTGTACAGATTTATGGACAAATTCAAAATGAGGACAACTTGTAAAATCACTGCATAATACCCAGTAAGGAGGGATTTTCACTTTCATAGTAAATTTAATAAATGATACAGATACATGTACATGGTACTATCATAAACACATTAGCTCTGAATCAATACATGTTACTCCCATTACATTAGACTGCAAAATATAATCAAATATCAAGGTATGATACATTGATTTACAGATGAAAGATCTCAATCAAATAGTTGTTGTTCGCAAGCATTTTGTTAATGTGTCTTTTAGAGCAAAGGAGGGAAATCCCATATTTTGTTATCTGATACAAAAAGAAAACCAAAGAGCAAACAAAATACAGACCAAATTATACACAAAATTTGATCTGAAAACTACATGAACGGTATTGTATACCCTGGGCTACCAACCCAGACTACTACCCCAATAAAGGTACCCCCCCCCCCTCCCTCCCTCCCTGTACAATCTTTCGACAACAACACAACTTGTCACAGCTACCGATGATTGGTCATCCTCTCTTCAATCTAGAGGCCAAACTGATATCGTCTTTCTCGACTTCCAAAAAGCGTTCGATCGCTTACCACATCCACACCTTAGATCCAAACTACATTACTACGGAATCAGGGGAGACTCTCTCTGCTGGACTATGTCACTCCTAGCGAATAGACATCAAGCTGTCGTCGTCAATGGTGCTCGCTCAGCATGGATGCCTGTTACTTCAGGAGTACCGCAGGGTTCTGTCATCGGCCCCGTACTTTTCCTGCTGTACATCAATGACATCAAACTCAACATCAAGTCCACAATGCGTCTATTTGCAGATGACAGTGTCATCTATCGGCGTATCAACTCTCCCTCTGACACTCATATACTGCAAGAAGATCTCCATGTTCTTGCAGACTGGTCTACTAAATGGCTGATGGGATTCAACATCAAGAAGTGTGCTACATTGTCAATCACAAACAAGAAGCACCCCGTCACAGTGGACTACACCCTACTAAATGAGTCAATTCCTCGAGTAAAACAATACAAGTATCTTGGTGTCACGATTACCCATGACCTTAAATGGAACACCCAATGTAAACTCACCACCCAGAAAGACAATAGAACCCTTGGTCTCCTCCGCAGAACTCTATCACCGTGCACCAAGAACATCAAATCCAAAGCCTACACAATGCTTGTTCGTCCTCAACTTGAGTATGGCAGTGAAGCTTGGAACCCTCGGACTCTGACATCAATACAAAGTCTTGAGAAAGTACAGCGAGCTGCCGCCCGTTTTGTATACCAAGACTACCGGAGAATAACATCAGTCACAGCACTTGTCAACTAACTGGGATGGGATACCCTTCACAACCGCAGGCTTCTTGCACAGTCCACTTTGTTTTACAAGATGCACCATCATCAACTCAACATGCCTTTTCCCACTCACATTATCCCAGCTACATATCTGGGCAGAAATGATCACCCTCTAAAGTATGCAGTACCCCCAGCTTCCATTGATAGCTTTAAGTTCTCCTTCTATCCTCGCACCATCTGGACGTGGAACCACCTATCAGCTGCTGCGGTAACATCTCCAACAGTGACCATCTTCCAGGAGGCTGCTCCACCCATCATCAGAGCGTTGCCTCCTCCTGTTGGGTCCAAGCTACTGTAGACTCCATGTCTCGGTTTTTACTTGCACGTCCACCGTTTTATTGTAAATAATAGACATCATTCACTGTTTTTAATTACTTCATGCACTGTCACTATGCCAGCACGTTGCACGGACATCCCAGTTTAGCTGTATGATAGCTGCCATCGGGATTATCTCTAAAAGTAACAAGTAACTACTCCCTCTGACATTTACCCAACAGACAACTACACCCAAAGGGGTGATGGAGGTACTTTCAAAAAGGGGTCTGGCAGTGTAGGCAGGGGGTTGGGTGGGGATGGTAATTATCAAATGGAAGGGGGCAGTTGTCCTACAGTAACAACGGTAATTGTAATGAGAGGAATTCTAGGGGGTAGATGTCTGGAACCGGTTTTCAGGGGTGATAGTCTGAAGGAAATTGTCCAGGGGGTGTTTCACAAAGATCTTAAGTCAAACTTAACTTTAAGTTGAACTTGAGCGAAAATTGAAGTATTTTAGACTTTTTATAAATTCCACATCAAGACCATGAAAAATCCTTGGTAATAGAAAATATGAAAGATTTGAATCAAAATTTTATGCCTTTTGAAATACTTTTACAAAATATTTTCAATGATGCTAACGGCTTTCCATAAGTGCTAAGTCCAACTTAGAGATAAGTTCAACTTAGGATCTTTTTAAACACCCCCCAGAGAGGGTAAAATGGATTTCATCAAATACAGACATACTGAATGTTTTTGTCTTGCACTCATCTGAGTATAACGTAAAAATGAGCAGAAATCCGAAATAAAACGATATGAAGCTAAAGAGAGTGAAAATAATGGGCTTTGTTTGATGCCTTATTACAATAAAAACGAACTAGGCATGTCCTATTTTGGCTTCCTGTTCATTCTTGTGACATACTCTGATTAGTGCAAGTTGAAAAGCTTTAGTATGTCTGTATGATATTCTTGATTATGTAGAACCAAAATAAACCTCATAATACCTTGAATTGACAGGCTTCTTCTTTGCAGTTGGTTCCTCTGGTACCTTTGTAGACTGACCCCCGAAGCTACTTGGGATTTTATCGGGATGTAAGTTGATCTCTGGTTTCTCAAGGGGGACAGGTTCATTTGGAGCCTACAAAGAAGAGGAGACAAATGGAAAGATCAGCAATACATATTTTTCCTCCTCTTACATGTTACATGTTTGAGACTGTGGACCCTTTAAAGGGCAATCCTACCTTTGTAATATTTCATTTGTATGAGAGCAAGAAAATATGAGAAACAGAAAATTTGCGAAAGTTAAAAAGTAAAATGGACTAATAATAAGTTGCATAAATGTTTGAAATCTGAGATCACTAAATCAATGCAAATCTCAAATTGGTAATTTGGTCAATGGATTGTGACAAAGACATGGACAACTCTCCCGTCTGTCATGTAAAAAAATATAGGTCATTTCTGTTTTTCTCTTAAGTGCCTTCTCCCCTCCATTGGGGCACTAATAATATATTATCATGTTAAAATAGGTCCTCTAAAGAATAATAACCCTCCTGAATCACACATTGTAGTCATTTTGTGTTGGAACAAATGAGAAAGTTGTCCAAAACTATGTCAAAGTGAGATTAGTGATGCAGCCAAATGGAGGTTACCACAACTTTCAAAAAATCATAACTTTCTTATTGTTTGTCTGATTTTATTTAAACTTTCACTAGTCTGCTTCTCTGAATTTTCTGCTTTCTTTTAGAGTATTTGTTTATTACGATTGAATATTTCTTTAATTTGCCATTAACACAAGTTTAAGTTACTGGTACATCGTTGGTTTGTATGCAGAGCTCATATGTGTACTGTACATGATGATTTATTACATGTAGAATGAATCTTATTATTTCAAAATCTTACTTTTGTAAACATTTTATAGTCATTATAAACAAATATAGATCTGTCGCCTTTTAAGTTAACATGATCTGATGTCAATGCACTGCAACCTGTACAGGATCTTGGGAAGAAATTCCTACAAATGTGGAAAATGGTGTGGAAAATCGACAAAGATACAGGCTAGTATTTTTGTGTGTGTCCTTTTGGCATTTTATTCCTCGGGAAGTGGTATGATGCAAGTGAAGTATTACCTTTATATGTGAATGAGCCCATTTTACAGCAAGTTTCTTTCCAAGAGCTAGTTTACCATCCAAGGCATGGAGGGCATGTACTGCATCCTGAAACAAAAACAAAATTACATCATGGTCAACGTTAATCAGTATGACTGAAAATGAAGGACATAATATATATTGCAATATCTGTATGAACATAGGGAAGTTTAAAAGCAATACCGGTATATGACATTTTAGAGGCAGTTACACATTATCCCATACAATGTACCGGTAAGCATTAACAATAAAATTATGTATACACTTTTTCTTTTTAAATCAACAATTTAATTCCAGCATTTCACTCAAAAGAGCATTTATCAAATGCATTCAGGTACTGTAAAGCTAAAATTAACCTTTTTACAAAAGACATACAAATGTGCTTTTCAAACCGTTTTGTAACAGAGCTGTGCATTACAAAGTGACTAAATTTTGACTCATAATATCACAGCAATTACAACAAAAGATGATTAAAACAACAGCTCAGCTGTACAAGTAAAATGTTACTGAACATATAAAACACATCTAACATGATGAATTGTGCTAAACTTATTGCTTTTATACAATGCAGATATAGTGAAACTACTATGATCATTCTGTCACAGAAAGATTAGAATTACCGTTCTATTTTCAAAGCTTGCAAAACAGTAGCCCCTTGGTTTCCCTTGGTTCGGTCCTGATTTGTGAAATAGGAAGTCAAACTGCTCAATCTTTCCATACCTCTGCAACAATTTCAGCAAGGTGAATCTGCAAAAATAAATAACAAAACAAAACTAATAAAGGAGAGGCTATTTGTACATGTTTTTGCAATTTGGTTTGGCATTTTGCAAGTCACATAATCTAGTCTTCTAGATATGATTATGACTATTTGTCTGTAATCTATACGATATCAAAATACATGAGAATCTATTTTCTAATTGCAATTTATCCCGATTTATCAATATCATACTCATACTAGAAATTTGCAAAAAATATAGACCCTACTAGAGTAAAGGACCGTCACCGTCGACAGTTTTTCGGCCGGTCCGTTGGATGCATGGTAACATGCCTTTAAAATACATCGCACAATAGTATATCACATATCCCACACATACCATAACATGCCAGAGTCACTGAAGAACCACATTTACCCACTACCCGAATCTGAAAAATCTAGTATCTTACACGTGTCTGTAAGGAATATGGGTACCATAAAATGAGCTTTATTTCGAAAATTTTCAGATTTAGAGCCCGATTTTGTGTGAGTCGCAAGCTCAAAAGTATCTCATTGCATGTATTAAATCAATGCAGCCGGACACCGCAGAGCACACACGATATCTCTGTCTAATTCAGATTCCAATTGCCGATCACTGCAGAGATAGTTTTCGGCATGGCGAGCTGTGGGATACCTGCTCCGCCCGCTAGTGCTATAGATCAGCTGGGGATCGCTAGGCGCTAGGTAGACCAAAAACTTCAGTCTCTCTAATCGTCGGTTGTTCCACTGAGACTACGTCTGGCTCCACTAGACCTCCGATTATAGAGACTGAAGTATGGCCTATCGGGACTGTACGGGACTGTACGGAACAAATGGTTCGGTTCGACCGGACCGCGATGAATGAGATATGCAACGAGATTTTCACTCTTTACATCCTCATAACTGCTGCAATTATAATAAAAATTAAAAATAACATATATATAGCTTATTTGACTTACGATAGCTTGCTCATTTAGATCCTAAATTAATGATTAATCCGAGAAAGTCTCGTCGTCAACATTATCCGTCTTGGTTTTAGTTGATTAATATTCATTTTTTCTTTTCAAATGTCCAATAGCTACCGTAGCTACGTACGAGTCAGCCCGGCTTGACCAACGAACTCCCACGAAACGAGTGCTCTGATTGGCCATTGGCTATGTTTTGGTAGGTTGAACCGGAAATATATCAGCCGCCGGGTAATAGTTTGAATGCATGAACGTACTGCTTCACGGTTCAGAGATAAAATTGGATAACTCATAATAAGTAAGTCCGTAAATTTCACATTCTATAATAGGTTAGCAAATTTTGAAAACTGTAATTAGGAGGTACATGTATATATACCGACCTAATTTACATCTGATTTAGAAATCAGAAAATAAGATCTAAATAAAGAAAATCGGGGAGAAAATGTTTTGAACGAAAAGATGTACATCGGTGGCTCTAACCACCCCCACGGTACGAGATCCCTGGGTTACCGTCTGTATTTGGGAATGTCAACAAATGTTAGTTTTATAAAAGAAATGACCAAATCAGACGGTTATTTCTGTCTAGGCGCTAGGCAGATAACTGTCAAAACAGTGAAAATTGAAATGAATATTGTCATGGCAATTCAAGATTTTTTTTTCTGGGATTCTTTTTTTTATTAAATAATAGTAACATTTGCTTTATGATTTGAACAAGAAATGATAATAAATAGGAAGTAAAGAGTCCAAAAAATAGGAGTTTGTCTGAACTTGACCGGAAACCCCCTCCTTTGGCTTTACTTTAGGCTTTAAAGTCTAGATCTAGATTAGACCGAAAGCTTCAGTCTCTATACCGTCGGTTGTTCCACTGAGACTACGTCTGGCTCCACTAGACCTCCGGTTATAGATACAGAACGATCGCCTATGCCAGCCTATGTTGAAGATATCACGGCTAGATTTTAGCTGTTAGGCCCCTCCCACAAACATGACAAACTTGCCACGGCCGTTTTGTTATGCCCCCAAAATCCCCCAAAATGTCATTCTACCTCGTGCATATCCAATTTTACATTAGGCCTAGGCTATAATACATCGGTTCCACTTACTAACTTGATGGAAATAATCCGTTTAATGGTCCCTTTTAAGGAAATTATGGGTCAAAATCGACATCCATGTTGAAAATCTTGCAAGCCGTGTTAAACTCTCGCTGCCGTCAATCTCATCCCTTCTAGTCTACGCCGAAGGCAAAATGATTATGAAGGAAAAACTGTGCGCCATCTACATGTTCGTAATGGCGTTATCACAGTTTTTCCTTCATAATCATTTTGCCTTCGGCGTAGACTAGAAGGGATGAGATTGACGGCAGCGAGAGTTTAACACGGCTTGCAAGATTTTCAACATGGATGTCGATTTTGACCCATAATTTCCTTAAAAGGGACCATTAAACGGATTATTTCCATCAAGTAAGTAAGTGGAACCGATGTATTATAGCCTAGGCCTAATGTAAAATTGGATATGCACGAGGTAAAATGACATTTTGGGGGATTTTGGGGGCATAACAATACGGCCGTGGCAAGTTTGTCATGTTTGTGGGAGGGGCCTAACGGCTAAAATCTAGCCGTGATATCTTCAACATAGGCTGGCATAGGCGATCGTTCAGTCTCTATAACCGGAGGTCTAGTGGAGCCAGACGTAGTCTCAGTGGAACAACCGACGGCATAGAGACTGAAGCTTTCGGTCTAGATCTAGAATCTAGTCTAGATCTAGAAATCTGGGGGCCGTTTCTCGAAACCAACTCCATGACAGTCATATCTTTGTCGGCGACCTACGGAGATGTCATGAAGCGGATAAACCGTTTCACAAAGCCATGACAGACATGATATCGATATATCGCGATACTAGCAGCTCAAGAACATAGTCTTTGTCACGATCCATTTGATTTACCAAGAATAACCCAAAACAAGTTTTGGGGCTAAAATTGTTCAAAAAGAAATATATACATATAAATTCTCCTAAAATAAATAATAAATAGTGTCATTATCATATTTACATCATCAAACGATTTGCATATTTCTGTAAAGATTCTTAAATTGAAGAAAAACCGGTGAGTGTTTTTTTTTTCGACAGTCGAATCAAAAGTTAGTTGAAGGATACCGTAATGTGATAGTTTATCAATACGTACTTTTTTGTTTATTGTGACGAGGAATTTTAGGCTAAATGTCTTTTCTCAGCCAGTTTTTATTCTAGAGTCTCATAAATACTCGTTATATAATTGATTTGATATTGAAAATATAATTTGGAAGAAGTAATTAGAGAGGGAATAATAATGCACATAGGCCCCAAAGGTATGACGGTATCCTAAGAAAAGACTATGGATCGACTATGGAAAACGGTGTGTAACATTCTTACCTCTCTTATTTATATGTTATAGTTTAATGATTTGTGATTTAATGTTTATATTCAGCTTTTTAAAGTTTCTGTATAATTTGTATTCTCACTTTTGTACATTTGCATTTCGCATCCCAGAGAATTACGTACCGAACTCGTCTATATTTTTCTCAAAATGATAGTGAAACTAATCGTCCATTTCGCGGCCCATGGAATGGCAACGAACTGACTTGTGATGGCGCTTTACAGCAATTAAAAAGATATGACAGGTTCGGAGCAGTGACAACTCGCTTGTCGCGGAAGTTGTCGCTCATCTTGGCAAAGACGGCTTCGTGAAACACTTAGCTGACAAGTTGCGTGACAGTGGCGAGATGTCGTTGATCTTGTAGTTATGACGGTTTCGAGAAACGGCCCCCTACTCTCTAAAAGTAAAACTCTACTGATTGCCCAAAAATGTTAAGGTAACCTTATATTTCATCACAGTAAAATCTTTTAAAATAAAATCTACCAAAGAAATATTTATGACGTTTGATAGTTCATTAGTTCATTATTTTTTCGATGGCAAATTCTCAGAGCACTGCAATACACAACACAAATTTACTAACACGGTTCTGAACATGTGGGACACCATTAACAAAAATCTTACTCAGTTATCCTTTCATCTAGGTTCCCAATCCACAGTCTCCGACCTCCAGTGTCATTCATTTTGCAGAATTATGTAAATTGATATGATCAGATTTCGAATTTCCCAAAAATTTGGTAGAATATGCTCAAATAAACGGATATTCTGTCCGATCCGCAGCTGAACACAATAGACTGGTAGAAGTTAGCAGACAGGTAAGATAAATGTTGATCATTTTTAAAAGTGTCATCTTACGCGTTGCCAATTTGTCATAGCATAAGAAATCGAATTTATACAAGCCAAATCTAATTAAAGTGGATCTGTAAATGTGGAAATCCCAAATCGAAGAAAATAAATAAAGTCCTCTCGAAAATGAATGTGAATTTTTGAGGGTTTCAACATTTTTACCCCCACCCCCTCTATATCCGCGGATTTTTAGGTTTGAACGTTTTGTAGATATAGCCCCTCCCTCTACGTACCGTTTGTCAAGGAGGAGAAGAAGAATAAGAAAAAGAAGGAGGTGGAGAAGAAGAAAAAGGAGGTGGAGAAGGTGAAAAAAGAGGAAGGAGGAGGAGCAGAAGAAGAAGAAGAAAACCGAGAAGGAGAGGATCAAAGAAGAGGAGGAAGAGGAGAAAAAGAAAAAGAAGAATTACTGAAGAAGAAGAAGAAGAAGAAGATGAAGAAGAAGAAGAAGAAGAAGAAGAAGAAGAAGAAGAAGAAGAAGAAGAAGAAGAAGAAGAAGAAGAAGAAGAAGAAGAAGAAGGAGCAGAAGAGGAAGAAAAAGAAGGGAGAACGAAGAAGCCGATTAAAAACACTTTACAGAAATATAAATAGCGGCCCTCATTGTTGTATCAGGCATCAGCTAAGCAGGCCACTAATTAAAAAAAAACATTAAAACAAATAAATGAAAGTTATAGAAGAACCTCATGGTCAGTATGAGAGACAGGAAAAGAGAGGATGCGACTTCGCCCCCAACCCCCGCACTCTCTATATATGATTATATCATCCTCACTTCTTTCCTTCCTTCCTTCCTTTCTTCTATTTTTTTAAGGGGGTCGGCATACAGGGGGTGATTTTTGAGGGGCAAAAACGCCCCTCCTCTAAGGTTGTATAAAGAGAAAGATAAAATAGGAGCTGTATATAAATATAGCTGAAAGGGGAAATAGGGGGGAAAAGAGTAAAAGGTCAATCAAGGAGAAAAACAGAAAACCTGAATCAGTTTAGTATACAAATAAGGGGAGAGAGGGTACATAGCAAAAGAGGGCAGAGTGAGGATAAACAACATTTGGCAGGAAAGGCTATAGAAGCTAGAGAAAATGGGGAAAGAACAGCGGAAGAGCTAAAGGAAAATGAGGGGGCCCATAAATGACAAAGTCAGAATTGAAATACATATATCTTCAACGTCAGTGATTTGTATTTTAACAAGAATCCGGCGTCGCCAAACCACTACAGCCCCTGTCATGCAGTGCCTTATAGTTAACATAAAGAGCAAGAGAATGAACTGAGAGAAAATAAGGTAAAAGATAGGAACTTAGAGGGAGTATAAAGAAATAAAGAGTGAGAGATTTTAATTTGTTTAAATCGCTCCCCTGGGTAACGGATCGGCAACGTATTTGGTGGGATGGAAACCCCACGCAAGCTAGCATAATTATTTGCGTACAAATGTATAAATCAGTGGTGGATAAGGGAATGGCTCAGCCACTGGACCTTGGTAGGGGCTCTTGTAGCCAATATATAGGGTCCCATCCAAGACAACCCATTGTTCTATAAAATTGTCCATAGGCCGGCCTATGACAGACAGTGTAAGTGTGAGAGAGAGAATTGATTTCCAACGAAATAAAGCAATTAATAGAGGAGGAGAATATTTTAAGGATATAATGTATATAGAGGGATATATAGATCTCGAGAGCGTCAGGGGCGGAGGCGGGGAGGGGTTCTAATCCTGCAACGGGCCTGGAACCCACAACCCGTTAAGATAGAAGCACTGGCGTACTGGTGGGGTGGCTTGGGGGGCGCCAGCCCCCCCCCCCCCCCCAAATAAAATTGAACCATGACTTATTTTCACAAGTGATGTATAAATGTTCGTGATATCACATGATTTTCAACTAAATGCTAGTTTCTCCATTAATTCTTGCAAACAGACCCATTCTCAAAAAGCCAGGAAGAGCATATATGTTTTTTAAAGTCACTAAGGGCCTTATAGTGGCCACTAACAGTAACACTAGTATAAAAAAATCCTTTCCAGAAGCTACTGTGCAAAGCACTGCCGGGAGGCGTTATTTTTTTCTGTGGCACAGATTGGGGTTAGGTGCGTGTTGAGCCTATGGGAATGTTTAGGGTTAGGGTTAGGATTAGGGTAAGGGTTAGGGTTAAATCAAGACCTCTTTTTAAAAAAAAGCCCCAATCTGTGCCGCAGAAAAAAATGACGCTGCCGGGAGATAACATGCTATACCCACCACTCGGGCTGAGCATGCACAGATTTGCGAATGAGCGTTCCATACTTACATCATGTAACACTGCACATATAGTGGGGGAAAATGAATTCAGACAAGATTAAGAGTAGAGAAGGGTACAACGAATGGTCTTCCTTCTCTAATAATTTAATGAAACGGCAAAGCTTCCACGCTTCGCGCGGGAGGAGGGGGGGGGGGGGATTGAATTCAGACAAGGATTAAGAGTCGAAAATGGCACAACGAATCGTCTTCTTTGTCTAATGATTAGATGAAACGCGAAAATGATTTCAGAAAAAGATTAAGAGTAATAATTAAATGAAACGACAAAGCTTCCGCGCTTCGCGTGGGAGGGGAAAAACTGAATTCAGACAAAGACAGTCACGATAACACGAATCGTCTTCTTTCTCTAATAATTTAATGAAACTTGAAAGCTTCCTCGTTTTGCGCGGGATGGGCGAAAATGAATTCAGACAAGGATTAAGAGTAATAATTTATTAAAACGTCAAATCTTCCGCGCTCGGCGCAGGAGAGAGGGGGGGGGGGGGGTGGGAGGGAACTGGATCCAGTAGAGGATTAAGAGTCGGGACCGGTACAATGCATCGTCTTCTTTCTCTAATAATTAAATGACACGTCATAGATTCCGCGCTTTGCGCGGGAGGGGCGAAACAAGAATCAAGAGTCGAGAACGGTACAACGGATCGTCTTCTTTCTCTTATAATTTAATGAAGTATCAAAGTTTTCGCGCTTCGCGCGGGAGGGGGGAAACTGAAAAATGACTTTGTTCCTGGCCCCGGGATTTGTCGGTAATCGGTGGCCTCTACACCCTCCCCACTCCCCCACTTCAAAAAAATAGCGACGCCCCTGCTAACGACACAGTTTATACACTCGAGATGATTTTTGCAAGTACTACTGATGAAGTACTGGACCACCGTCTTTGAGCATTGTGCGGCATCAAAGCATATACAACATCTCACGACTTGACAGATCACTTTTCTCTAACTTTTTCCAGGAAGTGCCGGTGGACATTAATGTGCCAAATGTGGTTCTCAGATTGCAAAAGATTCCTACTCTTGGAAGGGGAAGGAGAAAGCACTTTTACGTCATATTACTCCAGGAAGTGCCTGAAATGCGTCTAATTTGGTTCTAAAATGACAAATACTTCCCACGGGAGGGGGACAGAACCCCCCTCCCAGACCCACCCCCGCTTGGTCGCTCCGCTCCCTCGCCGCTGTCACTTCATCGTTTTACATATATATTTAACCCCATGCCATTTTGTGCCCCCCCCCGGTAAGAAATTCCTGGATCCGCCACTGATGCCCATAACCCTTGAGCTTCGGAGGCTCCGCCCCTTGACCCCCGCCGGGGCTTTGCCCCTAGACCCCACTTTGCGAAACGTTCAGCGGGGCCTGCATGTTATAGTGGGATGATGCCGATTTTTTTTTTGTCAGCCCCCCCCCCCCAAACGTTTTTACTCATTACGCCACTGGATAGAAGTGATTCCCAAGAATTGCCAAAAATCGAGAGCATCCGGGGGCTCCGCCCATTGGACCACACCCACCCTCCTCTTTTGCAAAATCCTAGATCCGCCGCTGTAAAATGTGATAACTGCATTCAGGTCAATACAAACTGCTCTCAAATAATCATAGTGGCAACGTAATACCTAATTGATTTGCCTAAATCCCTTTTGTTGCAGTCATAATATGCTCTTTTTGAACTTCCATATTTTTTCTCGCTGAGTATGATAATGACCCCGGTTAAAATTTGTTCATTTCACTTCCTCGTTGCATGACGTCACTGATAGATATGTATGTACTTTGGAAAGGTGTCGCCGCCGTTGATCTTCTGCCTTTATCGACCTCTCTCATGTTCTGCGAGATATGCTGATATTTTGTCACTAAGGGAGTCACTTAAGTGCTTGCTTATTATTGTAAGTATATTTCACATATTGAAGACTGTTTTGAATTATATTTTGCTGCAATATGTTGGGCCATTTTTTGTGATGTGGTCTCCCATTCGAAAACGTACACTCAATTGCCATTTTTTACTCTAGTCCCAGTCATAACATTCCGTGTGGTGTTTTTTTTCTTTCTTTGGATTGACCAGTATTTTGTTGCTGTAATGTTTTCCTTTGCCTATTCATCGAGACAAATTATTGATATGTGAATATATTTCGGAAAATGCTCCTGAACATAATATAGATGTCTTATTAAGGCTTTTCAATAGAATAAACGCTGATTTAGATTAATTTCAAAATTGCAATTTAGCGCGTTTGGTCTTTTTCTGGTGATTCTTAAATGACTTGTGATCATTTGCAAAAACGTGTGAAAGAGGGCGCAGTAGACTCTAATTTTACTCCTGTCAAGGCATATTCTAAAAACCACTTTAAGAGATGTTCTTTTCCAGTTTACGGGCATAGAAATCTGGGGGTTTCAAAAACCATTGTATCGTTAGTACAACTACAAGATCAACGACATCTCAACGCGGTCACTCAACTTGTCCGCTAAGTGTCTCACAAAACGACCAACAACTTCCCAGACAAGAGTTTATTTGAACTCCTTCAAGAAAAATCTTAAAACATATATCTATTATCCCTTTAATTTGTTTTAGTTTAATACCTATTTCAAAATAAAATATAATTGTGTAAATTACCATAAGAGAGAAAGAAGGGGGAGGTGATGGGGAGGGAGGGAGGGGTAGAAAAAATACATGCAATTATTTTATACATTTGGACGCCTAAATCAACAAGCTAACATAAGCTTCCTACAGGTGCTCCCTTTTCCTTGTAATCATTTTCAGAAATTGTTTAAATAGCTCATGATTTGTATAATTTAAACTGTCTGTACGTCACATGTATTTGTTCGCTTTTTAACGGAAATAAAGCCTTTTGAATTGAATCAAGAGACTCATCGTGACTCCAAACCTGTTGTATCTCTTTTGTAAATACATATTTTTTTATCTTCAAGCTCTCAGTCTCATTTCACTGATCAGTTCTTATTGGTGTTCTAATATAAAAAAAAGTATTATACAATCACAAGCATACAAACTGTTCTTTTAAGGTTTTGATTTAATGCCTTAACTTTATAACAAGTACCTGCACACACCCCCAGTATAGTACGATAATACTCTGTAAAAGAGGTCTGTACTCAAAAGGAAGAAGAAGAAGAAGAAGTAAATAAGATCAATATTGTTTGTACATACATTGGTCTACCATAGAAAGGTCACAGAAGATTGCATGTTCTGTATTAACTCTTTATGCGCCACTTAAAAAACCCCCCTGTGCCACATTCTTTTAGGGTCACACATTTCGAGGGAATCTTTATTGACTCTGCTGAATCAAGAGGCTATAACTCTTCACTGGATGATCATGATGAAAAATATTGTGCAGCAAAGTTGTAGACCGGAAAACGTGCTTTTCGATGAACCGTCATTTGTTATATTTTGAATTATCATTTTTATAATAATCATAATTATATAATGTTTAATTTTTCTTATTTACGGCAGTTTTTTATCCCTCTAGAATTTCTTATTTAGCAATGATAAGACATCTTCAAATCGAATCTATTAGAAAGGTGGACTTCTTACCTTTCTTTACATACCTTGCTCAAGTATTCTAACAATTCAGAAGGTTAGTATTTAGGTTGTTGAAGAAAAGAAGTTCAATAGGGAGAGACTTGAAAGTACCCCGCTCAGCCACCCTTGACAATGGGCTAATCTGCCCATTGAAATCCCTATTACCCCAGGTTATTGTCAATGTCCGGTTTAGCGGGGCATGAAAAGGGACGTCGTGGGGATGTTTTTCTTTGTTGTGCCATGATAAGTCAATAAGAAATAAGAGAATGTTATTGATTTTGCCCACTGGTATGAGCATGTAAAAATGGTATAGGCATAATATATTATATGTGATATACATGACATAATCTGCATCTTATTGAAATGTCTCATTATGAATGTTCACCGCATCTGTTCTCTCACCTTCTTTACCCCTCAATAAAATTGATTTCAAGTACATTTATCACAGCCATAGATATACAAAGAAAGAATGAATCAATCTTAAAATATAAACTATATTGCATTGTTTTCCATTTACTTTATTGTGAGAGAGCTTATTATCAGAAATGATTGACGAGTGGAGTATGCAATGAATAAAATATGGAGAACGGACGTGAGAGACATTATGAGAGAGAAATAGTGATATGAAATGAAAGGACTTTACTGTGAATAAAGATTATAAGAGAAAGAGATAAAGATGACGGCAAGACAGGATACATATTGATACGAAAATAACAATAATAATGAGATAGAGATGACGGAAAGAAAGAGAGTAAACACTGATAGCATAAGAATGAATAAAGATAATAAGAGAAAGATATAGAGATGACGGCAAGACATAGGGTACATATAGATAGGAAAATGATAATAATAATAAGATAGAGATGACGGAAAGAAAGAGAGTAAACACTGATAGCATAAGAATGAATAAAGATAATAAGAGAAAGATATAGAGATGACGGCAAGACATAGGGTACATATAGATAGGAAAATGATAATAATAAAAAGATAGAGATGACGGAAAGAAAGAGAGTAAACACTGATAGCACAAGAATGAATAAAGATAATAAGAGAAATATATAGAGATGACGGCAAGACATAGGATACATATTGATAGGAAAATAATAATAATAATAAGATAGAGATGACGGCAAGAAAGAGAGTAAACACTGATAGCATAAGAATGAATAAAGATAATAAGAGAAAGATATACAGATGACGGCAAGACATAGGGTACATATAGATAGGAAAATGATAATAATAATAAGATAGAGATGACGGCAAGAAAGAGAGTAAACACTGATAGCATAAGAATGAATAAAGATAATAAGAGAAAGATATAGAGATGACGGCAAGACATAGGGTACATAATTATAGATAGGAAAATGATAATAATAATAAGATAGAGATGACGGAAAGAAAGAGAGTAAACACTGATAGCATAAGAATGAATAAAGATAATAAGAGAAAGATATAGAGATGACGGCAAGACATAGGGTACATATAGATAGGAAAATGATAATAATAATGAGATAGAGATGACGGCAAGAAAGAGAGTATTAAACTCATAGCATAATAATGAATAAAGATAATAAGAAAAAGATATACAGATGACGGCAAGACATAGGGTACATATAGATAGGAAAATGATAATAATAATAAGATAGAGATGACGGAAAGAAAGAGAGTAAACACTGATAGCATAAGAATGAATAAAGATAATAAAAGAAAGATATAAAGATGACGGCAAGACAGGATACATCTTTCTTTCATTAGTTTTATTCATTCTTATTCTATCACTGTCTACTCTCTTTCTTGCTGTCATCTCTAGCTCTTTCATTAATTTTTATTCATTCTTATTCTATCAGTCTACTCTCTTTCTTGCTGTCATCTCTATCTCTTTCTTTCATTATTTTTATTCATTCTTATTCTATCACTGTCTACTCTCTTTCTTGCTGTCATCTCTATCTCCTTCTTTCATTTTTTTTTATTCATTCTTATTCTATCAGTCTACTCTCTTTCTTGCTGTCATCTCTAGCTCTTTCATTAATTTTTATTCATTCTTATTCTATCAGTCTACTCTCAGGGAACACTTTTATCACTAGAGTCTTCGTCACTGCTCGATTCGTCGGAATCAGAGTCCATGCTCCATGCTTCCATAGTAACAAGATCTCGAGCCTCCTCTACACTAAACACACGTTGACGTTTTCCAGCAGGTGCCATCGTAACATCAGTAAAAAAAATCCAAAGAAAACCGCTAAATACACGGTAATTTCGAATGTAACACTATGAAGAAAAACAGTTTACCGGAAAGTGTGCGATGTATACAATGTAAAAAATAGTAAACGCAACGCGTGGCTACACACTGCGAGCGGTATTATGAATGTCTAATTGACTCGTATACATCTGTGCAAAAATGCGAAGTTGGCACGCCTACGTCCGTGCAAATCGGCGAACAAAGCAAACAAAGAGTTAATAGACTGATGAGAATGATTTAATTTTTATGCATTTTTTTTTTCTTGATTTTTTTCCATTTTGAAGCATAGCCTTGATACAAATGGTATTGCATAATTATGATAAATAATTGTTAAATCTATGAGTCATAAAATATTTGTATTTTCAACATTTTTTTAACTAGAAATAAAATCAGGATCTTCTTTTTGATTGGATATGAGTATGGTATCCTCTTACAAATTTTGGTTCGCTTGTCGCAAAAGCAACCTCGAGTTTCATCAAGTTTCATCAAGTTAAATTCTAAGATGTCATTATCAGGCCTAATAAAAACCCGATTTAAATTGATTTCCCGATTTTTCCCGATTTTTCCCGATTTTTTCCCGATTTTTTTTTCTTCCCGATCTATAAAAAAAAAAAAAAAATCCAGATTTTTTTTTTTTTACCAATTTTTTTTTCTTCTTCCATATTTTATCCTGATTTTCCCAATTTCCCTCTTATTTTCTCTATTCTTCCCTTTTTGCCCTACTTTTTTCCCAATTTTCCCAATTTTGTCCCAATTTTCTTATTCGAAAGGGGGGAATTTGTTAGATGCCATTTTTTCCCCGCGAATCCTCTTTTTTTTTTTTTACTCAAGGGGAAAACAAAAAACCTATTTTTTTTTTAGTGCTAACTATCACCCCTGCATTATTAACACATGTTTTCATGCAAATTAGATGTTTGTATAACATTTGTGCTACTCTGATGGATCATTATTATTATGCCTAAGAACTTCTGCCCATAAAACTTCATCAAAATTAGGGAGGGCCTGCAAATGAGGGCTTCTACCTTGAATCCCATAATGAAAAAAATACTGATTATGTTGCAGGCAAAGGCATATTTTTGACTGCGCAGAGTTGATTCTTTTTTCTAGTTTCTAAATCAACC